GTATCGTGTTTTGTGTTTTTCTGTTTGTTAGATTAATGTTGTGTTTGCGTTGGACAGACTGTTCTCACCTGGCCTCACTTCTTCTCCTACTCGTACTACATGGTACTGCACAGACTGTACACACACACACACACACACACACACACACACTCTGCACAGACTGTATAAAGACGTGGATGAAGCGAGTGTGACATGACCCACCGCGTTCAGAGTCACTGAAGCAAACCAACAGTGAATTTGGAGTCAGGCTGTAGATTAGGAACAGAATTTTAATAGTGAAAACAAAAACCACCAGGATCATGTGTCGCAGGTTCATATGAACATTTCAGACCAAAACACAGAGGCTCACAGCAGCAGGTCCAGAGAGATGATTCCACTGGACGTCACTGGAGCCAGCGTAGGGTGACCAGGTTTACAAAATCAAAAACTGGGACACTCTCAGTTTGGGCTGTTGGTCATAATAAAACTGTGAAACAAGTGTTTAATTAAGGAAAACTGTTCTGCAGAGACGGTTCTTGATGAACATGTGAGTCAGTATAGTCACATTTTCTTTGTGTTTTGATCATTTTTAAGCTGCTTTTCTGTATTTTACCAAAACAAATCACAGTTTATGTCTTTTTACTCTTAGCAGGAACAAACTGATCAAAAATAGAAACACCTGGGACATTTCTTGTATAAACTGAGACAAATCAGTGGTTTTGTATAAATCTGTGGGACGGGGGACACAGGGTCAAAACTGGGACTGTCCCGGGGAAACAGGGACATGTGGTCAACCGGAGCCAGGGTCAGTAGGAGCCAGAGGAGCCGTAACTGAACTTCCCCTGTGGAGTGCGGCGGGTCGTGTCGTAGCCAAGTCCATCTCTGTGTACAGTCTGTGACACTAACACTGAGATGACACGACTAAACAACAACACGTGAGAGTGAAACTGTCAATCTAACTGTAATTTGTCTTTGAGAGTGTGAAAAAATACTTTCTAGGACTAACATCTTCAAATTACTGCTAGAAGAATAAAATCTGTCTGAAGTCTGAGATGTGACTGAGGTGCAGTGTGGAGCTTTTCTGTTCCTGCTCGTCTTTGTGGAGATGTTAGAACTTTAACTGGAAAACTCCACAGTGTGACTTTAAACCCTGCAGGACACGTGGGTCAGATCTCAGGAAGAACTTTCAAGGCAAATGAAGCTCCACAGAGACACTCACCTGGAAAGTTTCACAATGCACTTTTGAGATTAACACTGAGAAAGTGAAAATTACAGCATTTGGTGTAAAGGTGAGAGAGTGAAGTGTGGAGAGGAAACATATGAACAGTCAAGATGTTTTATTTTCTAAACAATACAAAATGTCAAGAATGTTTCATGTTACTGGAAGTTCAACCTGACCCGAGCTCCCGACCCGAGCTCCCGACCCGAGCTCCTCACCCGAGCTCCCGACCCGAGCTCCCGACCCGAGCTCCCGACCCGAGCTCCCGACCCGAGCTCCTCACCCGAGCTCCCGACCCGAGCTCCCGACCCGAGCTCCCGACCCGAGCTCCCGACCGAGCTCCCGACCCGAGCTCCCGACCCGAGCTCCTCACCCGAGCTCCCCACCCGAGCTCCCCACCCGAGCTCCTCACCCGAGCTCCCGACCCGAGCTCCCGACCCCGAGCTCCCGACCGAGCTCCCGACCAGAGCTCCCGACCCGAGCTCCCGACCCGAGCTCCCGACCAGAGCTCCCGACCCGAGCTCCTCACCCGAGCTCCCCACCCGAGCTCCTCACCCGAGCTCCTCACCCGAGCTCCCACCCGAGCTCCCCACCCGAGCTCCTCACCCGAGCTCCCGACCAGAGCTCCTCACCCGAGCTCCCGACCAAGAGCTCCCGACCCGAGCTCCTCACCCGAGCTCCTCACCCGAGCTCCCGACCAGAGCTCCCGACCAGAGCTCCCGACCCGAGCTCCGAGCTCCTCACTCGAGCTCCTCACCCGAGCTCCCGACCAGAGCTCCCGACCCGAGCTCCTCACCCAAGCTCCCGACCAGAGCTCCCGACCCGAGCTCCCCACCCGAGCTCCCGACCCGAGCTCCCAACCCGAGCTCCTCACCCGAGCTCCCGACCCGAGCTCCCGACCCGAGCTCCTGACCCGAGCTCCCCTCCTCTGCCTTAAAGATGCTCTGGGTGTTTCCTCTTCAGACGCTGATCATAACTGAAATCACATTAAGCCAATCATCTGAGGAGCTGATTCACCTCGACGCTTCCCCACAGAGAAACACTTTCAGACCAACCACAGCGCATGGAAAAAAAAACTTTTAAAATCATTTCCATACAGATGTTTAAGAAAGAGAAGAGCACAAGAACTTAAAGCTCCTCACATGATTCTCCTTCTGTTTTCTCCAGGACATAAATATTGTATAAGGAGTTTTTGAGGTCAGAATAATTCTGCTGTTTTCTGTCTGCAGATATGAAGTGTTTTATTCTCAAGAAGTGCAATAATTATGATTCTTGGAGCTCAAAAGCTACAAAAGCTGCATGAGGAAGAACATTAAGTGAAGTCTTGAAAAATAATTCTAAAAAAACTTCATCACATTCGTCACAATCAAACCAACAGACTGAGTTTCTCTGTGTGGGAAATGTGGAGGAAGAAGCTGCGGCGGCTCACCCGGCCCAGTACACTGGACCCGGCTGCTGGTCCTGGTCCTGGTCCTGGTGCTGGTCCTGGTCCTGGTCCTGGTCCTGGTGCTGGTCCTGGTCCTGGTGCCGGTCCTGGTCTTGGTGCTGGTCCTGGTCCTGGTGCTGGTCCTGGTCTTGGTGCTGGTGCTGGTCCTGGTCCTGGTGCTGGTCCTGGTCCTGGTGCTGGTCCTGGTGCTGGTCCTGGTCCTGGTCCTGGTGCTGGTCCTGGTCCTGGTCCTGGTCCTGGTGCCGGTCCTGGTCTGGTGCTGGTCCTGGTGCTGGTCCTGGTCCTGGTGGTCCTTGACGTGTTCTGTGTTGTAGGGCCCGTCTCTCAGTGAGGACCTGAGCGGCAGCAGCAGCAGCTCGGTGGAGATCAGCGGCGTCGGGGGCGGAGCTAAACTGGGCCCCTCCCCCCTGACCCTGTCGTCAGACGAGGTTTGTGCACTGAGATTATCGTAAACATTATTGTGACGGCAGAAAGTGAACGGAGCATCCAGGTCTCCGGGGCTCCGGGGCCTCCGGGGGCTCCGGGGCTCCGGGGCTCCGGGGGCTCCGGGGCCGGGGGCCCGGCCTCGGGGCTCCGGGGGCTCGGGGGGCTCCGGGGCTCCGGGGTCTGGGAGGCGCTCGTGGTTTTAAAGTCATTTATTGTCTCTTTTAAAGCGACTGTATGTGAGACGTGACGTGTTCAAAGCAAAACGAGCTTCACTGATTCAGACTTTATGCTGATTTTGAGTTGTGTAACTCTCTGGTGTGTGTGTGTGTGTGTGTGTGTGTGTGTGTGTGTGTGTGTGCGGTTCTGTGTTTGTGCTGCTCAGAGTCTGGACATGATCGAAGACGAGGTAAGACACTGCATGTGTTATGTGCGTGTGTGTAACGTGTGTGTGTAACGTATGTGTGTAACGTGTGTGTGTAACGTGTGTGTGTAACGTGTGTGTGTAACGTGTGTGTGTAACATGTGTGTGTAACATGTGTGACACTCATGAGCACACTCCTCTGTCCTGTGTCAGTCGGACCCTCAGTCTGTGTAAAGTGTTATACGTGTGTGTGTGTGTGTGTGTGTTGTGTGTGTGTGTGTGTGTGTGTGTGTGTGTGTGTTGTGTGTGTGTGTGTGTGTGTGTGTCTGTGTGTTGTGTGTGTGTGTGTGTGTGTTGTGTGTGTGTTGTGTGTGTGTGTGTGTGTGTTGTGTGTCGTCGTCTCTACAGACTTCAGTTCAGATGAAGCTCCTGTTGCCGTGGTTACAGGAGTGAATCTGGAGTCAGGTCCATATTTGTAAATCCGCCCGCGAGTCTCATAGCAACACAAGAGCCAATCAGGACGGAGGAGGTTAAAAACGCAGGAGCTGTCAATCAAACCTAGAACTTCCGGGGCAAATAAACGAGAGAGAATAAAATATCAGAACTGAAATAGGCACCAAGACTGTTTTTTTATTGGTGTTATTTGAAATTTGAAACTTTAAATGAAATATTGGAAATAGAGTTTGTTTGTTTTTTTACACTAAAATGGAAAAATTAAATAAACAGTTTTTGAATTTAATTGTTTTTCGTTCTTAATTGAAATCGAAAAGAACGAGCGGTACACAGACTCTGCTCACCTCATGAACTTCATTTGACTGGAGCTGAACTCTGTGGGGGACGTCACACTCACGTCCACTTCTTCACAGTCTGTGGTTTTAATTCAGTAAAGATCAGATGCAGCGTCTTAAACCCGACCCTGACCCCTGACCCCTGACCCCTGACCCCTGACCCTGACCCCTGACCTGGACCCTGGACTCCTCCAGCTCTCAGGTTCCTCTGTGTTCCTCCTGGTTCCTCAGATCCTGGACGAGCAGCAGGTCCAGCAGCTGCAGCTCCAGGGTCGCGCTGTGGCAGACTGGAGCTCGGAGCAGGTGTCTCTCTGGCTCTCGGGTCTCGGGCTGGAACTTCATCTCCCACAATTCACTGCCAAGAACATCGACGGACAACGGCTGCTGCAGCTGGACAACGCCGACCTCAAGGTACAACTCGTTTAAAAAGGCTTCATGGAAAATCTACTTTTCTGGAGTTTTCGCCCGTGTTATGATGTTCCCTCATCAAAAACTTATCGACATTTTTAGAGCAGGAGTCTCCAAACTTTTTCCTCTTGTGAGCGACTTTTACAAAACAAAAAAGACAGAGAGCTGCTCATGTTAGCGAGCGCAAGAAATTGATAAAGTGTAGGAGCCACGGCGAAGCTTTAACGAGGAACATTAAAACATAAACATAGTCGAGTTTCATTGTTGACAAAAGCGTGCGTTTCATGCTGGGAATTATTTTGGTCGGCGGCAAGAAACACTAATTGAACATGACGGACGGAGCGAGAAAACACGTAAAGGGTATTGATCCCGGTTATTTCTCCACTCTAACGGCAGACGACCCAAGACCATTTGACCAGAAACTGGTCATAAACATCGACGGACGACAAATCCCACTTTTCAACCCCGACAGAACCTGGACCAAACCAAATTTCTGGTCAGAATCTCCAACTCCCTGGACAAATATTCACTTGGGCGACATCCACAATGACTTGGTGAAACTCCTGGGCCATTCACAGCAGAAAAGATGAAAACCTCCAAGAGTCTGGATGTGTTGTTGAACTTGTTGAGTCCACGGTTTGTTAGGATCTTCTACGTTTGCTCTGCGGATGTTTGAAAGTCGTTTAATTCACCGTTAGTGGTTCTTTTCACTCAGAATATGAAAAAGACATTTTCCTTCTTCCGTGTTTCTATTTGTGCGTCCGATAATGCAGCAGGAATTTACCATTATCAGGGAGAATACGTGAGGTTACACACTGTGTTTGACGCTACCGTGTTTCTGCCTCCGACCAAAATATTTCCCAGCAGCAACGCGGACTTTTAATAACAATGACATCAGCTCAAACTCGACTATAAAACATATAAAACATAAACCTTTATCCATTTATTAGTGCACAGGTTAGAATCAAAATACATTTAAAAAGGTAAATAATCAGAGTTTAGTTATTAAGCACAATATTTTAAATCAGAAATTGGTGAGCTGCTTGGAAGGGGGTGAGAGCTGCCGGGAGCTCCCAGGGTTCAAGAAGCTGTTTTGGTTAGAAAAGATCATCCATCCTTGAACAGAACTGGAGGCTCAGACATCATCTGTGTCCATCTCCAAGTCCATCCTCTGACCTAAAACAGAGAGAACAACAGTGAGATGTGCAGATGAACAGGCCGAGCTACAAACACAAACTGGAAACAGGCAGGTGTTACTTTCAGTGCAGTGAGCGCCCCCTTCAGGCTGATATAAGACAGTGTCACCAGAGTCTGACCAGAACTGAAGAAGCAGTTTGGATGAGCTGAGAAACATTTTCAGCCTAAATAAGTCTAATTCTAGAATAAATGTTTGTTCAGTTAACAGATTGAATTTCTTCTTTGCTGTGGATTCTGTTACTCTGATTCTTCAGCTGGTTTCACTTGGTGTAAACCGTGTGACCACAGTGATCATTAGGATTTGTTCACTCAACAATAGACAGGGGGACTTTTTTTTATTTAACCAATCACTGATATTCAATCGTGATGTATGTAACGCTCCGGAGCACTCGGTGGTGTCCAGGTAATTGCCCAATGGCACAACAGCAAACAAATCGGAGAGTGAACATGTCTGTCAATGATCATTGTTGTTTTTATGAGATAAATTTGTGAATTAAAGGTGCAATAAAAAGTGCAAAGTTTGCATTTGACAAAAGACGTCCAGAGGAGGAGAGTGTCTGCGGTCGGGTTGGTTCTGGCCAACACACAGCTCACAGCTGATTGGTCAGTGTGAGCTCTGTCTAGTGTAGGGATGGGCAAACTAAGGCCCGGGGGCTGTATGCGGCCCTTTAAACTATTTAATCCGGCCCACTGAACTTGAATAAATTATAGTAATAAACCTTGTTATTGTTTTATTTTTCCTGCATTTCCGGTGTTTCCCAGTAGATGGTGCACTACATATACATTGAGGTGTGGCTTATTATGTCAGTTGCAATACTTTATGGGAAAGTGTTCTTTCGGATTGACAGGAGTTATTCTCGTCGGTGTATTTGGACCATGAGTGAGGCAGAAGTGTTCAAGCACGTAACACTGCACTGTTTCCTTCATAACAGAGTGAAAGTGAAGTTGACAAAGTCAAAGTAAGTTAGAAGGTCCTTGTGCACTGTGTGTTACAGCTTAAAATGGACAAGCAAGTCCAGCAGAGGGAAGGTTTGGTTGGGTTTAGACCAGAGGTGGGCAAACGTTTTAGCTTGTGGACCACATATGGTCCTGAAATTTGACTGAAGGGTCAGACAGAACACAGGACGAACAGTGTTAAGAGCAAATTAAAGTGTTTAGATCTGTTCCACAGCACATCACAAGCTAATGTGTATTGTGAGCAAACCATCTTCAAGTCTAACTGAGGAACAGCTCCACAACAGAGCTCATCCCACAGAGCCACACTCCTGCATGTGCAGTATAACCAGACCTCAAACTGTCCCATGCATCAAGAATTTCAACATGGCATTTATTTTTACCAACTTAAAATGGAAGCAGTGCAGCCTTATATCTTGAACACTGCTACTTCACTCATGGTCTGAATAACTCCTGTAAGAACACTTTCCCATAAAGCATTGCGGCCAACATAATACACCACACCTCAATGTAAATACACACACACACACGCACACACACTGCGCCATCTACTGGTAAACACCGGAAATGCATGACAAATAATACATTAACAAGATTTATTATTGTAATTCAAGTTCGGCAGGCCGGATAAAAAGGTTTAAAGGGCCGCATACGGCCCCTGGGCCGTAGTTTGCCCACCTCTAGTTTAGGCTCATACAGACGTGTGTTGCAGTTGTGTAGTTTAGTTAGTGGAAATTCTGGATTAGGGAAACAGAACTATAGTAGATAAAAGCACAATATTCACAAAAGTCTAAATATAAACTGTTTGTGTGTGTGTGTGTGTGTGTGTGTGTGTGTGTGTGTGTCTGTGTGTGTGTGTGTGTGTGTGTGTTCTGTGTGTCTGTGTGTGTGTGTGTGTGTGTGTGTGTGTGTGTCTGTGTGTGTGTGTGTGTGTGTGTGTGTGTCTGTGTGTGTGTGTGTGTGTGTCTGTGTGTGTGTGTGTGTGTGTGTGTGTGTGTGTGTGTGTGTGTGTGTCTGTGTGTGTGTGTGTGTGTGTGTGTGTGTGTGTGTGTGTGTTCTGTGTGTGTGTGTGTGTGTGTGTGTGTGTGTGTGTGTGTGTTCAGGCTCTGGGGTTGAGCTCGTCTCAGGATCGAGCTCTGCTGAAGAAGAAAATCAAAGAGCTGCGAGTGGTGGTGGAGAAGAGTCGGCGGCAGAGGGAACGCGCCCGGCGGAGAGACGCGGAAAACACCGAGGAGTGAGGGGCCCGAGAGCGCCGCCTGCCGCCCCGACCGCCACACCGCAGCCACGCTCAGGGGGCCCCACACTGGCCCCTGAGGGACACCGGCCTCCTCCCCCGCCGGAGGAGCCGCGTCTACTGTGGGCACTGCCTGGTGAAAGAGAGCGGAGGTCTGAGGGCCTCTGCGGACCTCCTGCTCTTAGCCATAAAACAAACTACTGTTTCTTCACCGTTTATTTAAAGGTCCAATATCACACGAGACACAACCTCCTCAGACAAACCTGGAGCTCGCCTCATTTGGTCTTCACATCATTTATCTTCTTAGGTTCTTTTTTCAGACCCAGAGTTTGTTTTTGTCCTGACAGTTTGTTCTGCTCCTCAGACCCTTCCTCAGATCCTTCCTCAGATCCTTCCTCAGACCCTTCCTCAGATCCTTCCTCAGATCCTTCCTCAGACCCTTCCTCAGACCCTTCCTCAGACTCTTCCTCAGATCCTTCCTCAGACCCTTCCTCAGATCCTTCCTCAGATCCTTCCTCAGACCCTTCCTCAGATCCTTCCTCAGATCCTTCCTCAGATCCTTCCTCAGACCCTTCCTCAGACCCTTCCTCAGACCTCTTCCTCAGATCCTTCCTCAGACCCTTCCTCAGATCCTTCCTCAGACCCTTCCTCAGATCCTTCCTCAGACTCTTCCTCAGATCCTTCCTCAGACCCTTCCCTCAGATCCTTCCTCAGATCCTTCCTCAGAACCTTCCTCAGATCCTTCCTCAGACCTTCCTCAGACTCTCCTCAGATCCTTCCTCAGACCCTTCCTCAGACCCTTCCTCAGACCCTTCCTCAGACTCTTCCTCAGATCCTTCCTCAGACCCTTCCTCAGATCCTTCCTCCTCAGACCCTTCCTCAGATCCTTCTCAGACCTTCCTCAGATCCTTCCTCAGACCTTCCTCAGACTCTTCCTCAGATCCTTCCTCAGACCCTTCCTCAGATCCTTCCTCAGACTCTTCCTCAGATCCTTCCTCAGACCCTTCCTCAGATCCTTCCTCAGACTCTTCCTCAGACTCTTCCTCAGACTCTTCCTCAGATGTTTCGTGATGTTGCTCAGCAGATTTAAACAGGTTTAAACAAATTTCACTGGGACAAACACACGACAAACATCTTTTATGGATTAAAGAGGAAATTGAAATATGTAAACGTGCCCACAGGATGATAAACCGGGACGAGGGGCTGTTTTCCTCTCACGCTCCTGGATCGTGTGGTGGGGAAGTGTGTCTGCAGGTGGCGCTGTCGTCCTGACTCCACCGAGATAAAAACACAAACAAAACCTGTTTAAATCAGCTGATGACAGGACACAGGAGCTCTCAGCCTCTGCAGCAGCTCTTTGTCGCAGCGATGAATCTGTTCGTGTTTGTTTAATGAACCTAAACAAGGACGACTGACACTTTGTCTTTTACTGGAAATGATTTTCACTTTTTCAAATCACATTTCCAGCACAAAAACAACAAGTGATGATGTGTAGACTAGAGACTGTATAAAGAGAACGAATAACAATCAGTTTTCTTTAAAAAAAAAAAAAAAAAAGAAGAAAAAAAGTCCACTCTTTTAGCACAAATTATGTGATTATTTTGTAATTTTTAATAATTCTTGACTAAATTTAAATATTGTAGCGACCCATAAACTTGACTGCTGCAATGCATCATGGGAAGGTTTTTGTTGGAGCTGGTGACAGAGGAACATTTCTGTAGGTGTGTTCAGACCGTGAGTGAGACACATGTGTTCAAGACATAAAAGCCTGAGTGGTTTCACAGAGTGAATGGTGAAAAATCAAATTTAGAAGTCAACAAATACATGTGTTGTAAATTTAATGTACTGAGAATTGCACAGCAGAGTGGAAGGACATTTGTTTAACAGGAGACCTTTAAAATTGATCTCCCCTAATGTGGCATCACTCACTGTGTGATTGATGTTGTTCTGTTATTTGGATGATCCAGCTTCAGTCTCAACAATGTCCCATAAACCTGAGGATGAAGCAGAAAGCAAAACTGTCAGGATGAAAACGAGATGTTGGTCTGGAGAAATAAACCAGGAACATAAACCTGGAGTTGGGTTTAATTTCTGAATGAACAGCTCCTCCCCCTCAGAACAGATCTCTGAGCTGAAATGATCCATGTGATTTTAGTGAAGGTGTGTGGAGTTTAAAAACACACTGGAGCACTTCCTGTATCACCACATGATGACATCACAAGGTGAATGAGAGAAGAACTCGTGCTAAATGTGTTAAACTTGTGAATGAAACAAACCACAGCTCCAGGTCTGTTTGTGTCGAGGAAACGACTTTAACGTTAAAGAGAGAAAAGCGACATTGGGCCCTTTAACTTTGAAGTGGAATCTGTTAAAAAAAACACACAAAAAAAACATCTCCAAACTTTTCTCCTGTGCCATTTTGAGCAAAGTCCTGTTTATGACCCGAACCTTCAGACACATCAGCCTTGAGATGTTTGAGAGCCGCCGCCTCCTCGTGCTGCTGCAGACTTCACCAGAGCTCGTCTCACTTCTCTCTCCTCACGCCTTTTCTCTTGGTTCCTCCTCCTCAGTTTTACAGCCGTCAGTCTGAAGCTCCGGGTTCTGTCGTGTCCCAGAACTCAGAGGCAAAGGAAGGACAAAAGGACAGGGACAAAAGGAAACAATAAAATAAAACAAGTGTAAGTACAGTGCTCAGAACAGTCGTATTGAACAGTCAGAGGAAAGTCTGTCCACTCACACAGACCAACCTGTGGTGCCACAAACTGATTCTGCCTCTTTTTTTTTTCAGAGACACACGGGTCAGTGGGGTTAAACCATAGAACTATAATAAAACATGGAAGATGAATCCCTGATGGCGTCGTGTTGGTTTCAGGGGTTTGTGCTCATTGGCTCATGGCCCCAAAACATTTCACTTCCGTATTTAACCCTGCGGTCGATTATTCTTCAGAATTGGTTTTCCAAAGAAGTCGCCTTGTGCCACACGTGAGTCGCCCCTCAGATGGAGACAGATTTATGAAAACATTGATTTAACTGTGACAAAATAATTCTAAAACACAAATTACAAAGATTTAGTCTTGATGGAGGCTTCACCGTTTGAACAGGGGCACCACACCAGGATGTTTGGTCTGTGAGGAAACACTGCACCCTCTGTCCTCTGTCCTCTGTCCTTTGTCCTTGCTGTGTCTCCTATGTCCTCTGTCCTCTCTTGTCTCCTCTGTCCTCTTTCGTGTCTCCTCTGTCCTCTTTCATGTCTCCTCTGTCCTCTCTCATGTCTCCTCTGTCTCTCGTGTCTCTCTCTCCTCTCTTGTCTCCTCTGTCCTCTCTCTTGTCTCCTGAGGCTGGGACTTCCTCGGCCGTTCCCTTCCGAGGCGAGGAGAGTATTTCAGGAGGAGGAGGTGAGGAGGGAGAAGTGGGACGCGGCCCAGAGGAGCCCTGAAGAGGAGCCACTGGGAGGAACCGGACGCCTCACACTTGAAACTTTTGATTCCAGTGGTGCTCGCGCAGTAACGCTCGTCTGTACTGCACTTTCACAACAACTCCTCCCCCCCCCGCGGTGGACTGGGCGGGTGCTTCAGGAACACTCCTCCAGACTCGTGAACATACACTGCAAAAACCTAGAAAATGGCTTGAATCACAGGACACAAAACCCCCTTCCACATGTTTATCAGAATTCCAAGTCAAATCATTTTAAAGGAGACGCATTATGTGAAATCTGCTGTTTTCATGTCACATTTTCAGTTGTTCAGAGTGATTCGTGCACGTTTGAGTCCACACACGGTCACTGTTCACACGATTTTGATTATTATTATTTTTAATTCATGTTCCTTAAGGACGTCACAGTCGCGTTAGACGAGTCAAACGCTTTGAGTGTTTTAGCACAAGTGACAGTTTTCAACACCGTCCGTATAAAAAAATATAAAATACCTGCATAAAAACACAAGACACATAAGAAATTTACTTTACGCATGTTACATTGTTGTTTAAAATCAGTGGTTGAAGTTTCACAATCTGGAGAAAGAGATTTACTCGGGCTCCGTTCAGTCTGCAGTCTGAAGTGACCCAAATCTGATTTGATTTTTCTCCTCTTTGCTCCTGTGTCTGAACCACACAGAGCTGATTTTTTCAAATGTGACCCAGGACACTTGGATATGTGCTCCTCAAACACATACATGTCCGATTTTTGGACATGTGACTTGAGTCTGAACGTCCAGGTCACATTCATCCACCTACAGGTCAGGTTCAGAGTCTGGTCAGTGGAGGGAAAGTGAGGTTCAACAGTTCATTTGTATTTGGAGGATTGTTAGTCTGATTCCTGAGCTGGTTTCATTTGGTGGAAACCGTGTGACCTGCAGCATTAGGATTCATTCACTTGACAGGAGACGGGGACTTTTTTTATTGAACCAGTCGCTGCTGTTTGGTCGTGACGTTTGTAAAGCTCCAAATCCTGTAGGAAGAAGAACAATAACGTCTTTCCCCGAGATCAAATTCACCAAACATTCTCTTTGTTCTGACTTTAAATCCTCGGGGATCTGGGGAATCGCTGACGACACAGAATGTCTGTCTCTTCTCTGATTGGCTGGTGCCCGAAATCGCAAACCGTCGAGACCAGGGGTGGACAAACTACGGCCCGGGGTCTGTATGCGGCCCTTTAAACCTTTTAATCCGGTTTGCTGAACTTGAATAAGTTACAATTATAAACCTTGTTGATGTTTTATTTTTCCTGCATTTCCGGCGTTTCCCAGTAGATGGCGCACTGTATATACGTTGAGGTGCAGCGTATTATGTTGGCTGCAATGCTTTATGGGAAAGTGTTCTTACAGGAGTTATTCAGACCATGAGTGAAGTAGAAGTGTTTAAGATATAAGATGCACTGCTTCCATTTTGAGTTGGCAGAAATCAAAGACAGAAACTGTGAAGATGTAGTGTTAAAAGTTTTAACAAATGAAATATGTAAAGATCCTTGTTGTGTTTCATGTGTAGATGTGTGAGCATGTAACCTACTGGCCAGAGTAGAACCTAATCATTTAAAAATCAGCCTTCACCTGTGGTTTGCAGTAGAGCAGATCTGTTAACTTTTCACGTGTTCTGAGTCTTTTCGTGGTGATGTTGTAGTTCGCTTCCTACATAAGAGTAAATACAAATATAATGCAGCCGAGCTCTTAACACGCCATGTCCTGTGTTCTGTCCGGCCCTTCAGGCAAATTTTGAGACCCTATGTGGCCCGCGAGCCAAAAAGTTTGCCCACCCCTGGTCTAGACTCATGCAGAGTTGTGTTGTTATGTTGTAATCAGGCATTTTGATCATCAGTGAGAATTCCAGTTTAGACACAGAGTCAGGAGGAGAGTGATGATGATAATATCCTGAAGGAGAACAGAACTTTCATTGCTTTAAAATAGAAACTGTTAGTAATAATAATAAAATATATATATATATATATTATTAATTATTTTTCAGTGTTTTAGAATGACAGATATTTTGTTGTGATGTTTTGTAGTGACTTTCAATTGAAATTCAAGCTCAGCTTTTCTACACAT